ATAAACTAGATTAAAGTTCATCAACAGATTTCAAATTTTATTTAAAAATTATATAGTTTAAAAGTTACGACCATTCAAAGTTATTTTAGGGGGTAAATTCAAAGTTATTTTAGGGGGTAAATTTGTGGAATTTTAAACTTCTTATAGTCATAAATCTTAAACGAAAAGTTTTTTGATGAAACTTGAAATCTGTTGATAAATTTTAGTCTCATTTATGATAGAACTTTAAAAAAATGTTATAATGTTAAAAGACGTAATTTTAGGAAGGGGGCAATTAGGGGTTGGCACGGGGTTGGGTTAGCTCCAATTACTTAAACTTTTTGAAAGTCAACCTTATTTGATACCAGTATTAACATACTAAAAATTGAAGTATGCCACATAGCTCATAGTTACCTATCTTGAACAAAAAAATTACGAGGCACTTGCCTCAAATACGTGATTTCTCCCCAGGCCCCTGGTTAAAAACATTGTTTTTTACATTTTTAAAATAAGGAAGAGTCTTTTGATAATAAACAAAAAATTTATGGGGATGTGTTGTAAGGTCTTAGAGCATGTTCCTATACACCGTGACTAGATGTTAGAATGTGCAATTCATACAATTAATTAGGTTACCTAATTAATTTATTAGTGTAAACGTAGTCAACATTGCTGATGACATTTGTTTATTATCTGTTATTAAATTAAAACTTTTCGATTTTATGCCCCTCTAAATATTTGGAGGAGGAGATTATATAAATACATAAGTATTACATTCTATGCAATATATTTATAAGTATTACGTAATACTTAATATGTAATAGGCGTCGCGATAGGTTAGATAGACAAAGTCTAGCTAATGACCTTATTATTGCTAGAAACTATTGGAACTACAATGTAGCATACTTTATGTAATATATTATGTAATATATGCTCTGCAGAATAATTCATGTGTTTATATTATATAATAAGTGCATATATTAACTGCATATATTATGTAATATATGCATTCTAGAATAATTTACTTTTGGGATTGCTCTGTAGAATAAGTCTAGCTAATTAACTTTTTATTGCTAAACTATTGGGACTGCATTGTAGAGTATATTGTGACTTCGTATATGCCATGTCTCAGTTAACTAAAGAGTAAGCTCTTTACTTAATTGAAAACTGTTGACATAAATACCTTGGAAACTTACCTTAGGCATAAAGGCGTAACATCTTTAAAATTAAAATCAACGAACAGTTAAAACATAATTACAAGATTATTAAAATGATATAAACTTTTTTGACAATAATTATTTTGTCTGATACCGTTTCGTTTTTGTTAACGTCATTTAAATAGATATTTTAGTTTTGATTTTGTCTAATTGTAAATTGTGTTTTTAAAAATAATTGAAAAATTCCTGGTTTTTTAATTAACTAACTTAATTACTTGGTGTTTTGAGTCATGTTTGTGTCTTCTTAAATGTATCAAAATTTAAATATGGAACCATTAAGTTTTAGCTTATTTATATACGTGGTCAAACGCTAGTAAAAAAAACTATTTTATTTATTGAAGTTTTCAGTATGAAAAAGGTTCTGTGCAATAATTTGACAACTAAGAAATAAATAAGAATTTTCAACCAACTTTTTCTATTCTTAACAAAATAAAATTTAATACCAAGTATCATAACTCCAAAAAAGTCTTGAAAAAATACGTCACAGGCGCCACCAATAAGATTTTTAATAGGTCTATTAGTCTGTAATTTGTAGTGCGTAATATACAATTTTTTATAAATGGTTCTGCAATACCCTTAGCTTATATTTTTAAGTATTATTCAGAAGAAAAGCGTTTTGAGATTTTTCCAAAATCCAGGTAACTTTTTATTTATGTTATAAGCATCTTTTGTGTGTCAAAATGTGATATTTTATATAATTTTTTTCTACCATCTATATAAAATGAACTAATACTTTTTTTTTTTTATAAATATTTCTTATATTTCTTATTAATACTTTAATTGTTAATACTTTTTTATACTTATTTTATTTTTTTATCCTTATTATTTTTATTCTTTTTTATCCTTATTTTATATCCTAATTAAAATCAACAACATTCAAATAGTTGTCATTATCATTTTAATATATAAGTTTAGTTATGAAAATAATTAAAATTATAGAAATATTGCAATTTCGTAGCTATCAATATTACAACGATATATAATTAACTGCATAGCGTAGCATTGTAGTTACCTTTTACAAATGCTAACGACAAATCTGTAGCTATCCAGCAAACAAGCGGGTTTTCAGTAAACCTATATAGGCATTTTTAACTGACCTCTGTAGTTTTGTTCATCGGTTACTGTTGACCATAACTGACAGCCACCCAAAGTGGCTAGCCGATGACTAGCCACTTTTAAATTGTCGTAAATTTATTGGCTTGCCTTTTATAGCGGCTGCCACTAATGGTCCTAAATAACTGATGAGCAAAATTCCAATGAACCGCTAAAAATGTCTATATATGTCCACTGCAAATCCACTAAAACAATGTTTGTTGGGTAGCAATTTCGTTATTATATTTTTGTAGCTTACTATAACATAGCGACTAGTCTGTATTATTTGATAGCTATAAATCGTAGGTTTGTAACGATCAAGATTATTGTTTTAGATAAAGCTACTAAAATAATAATAATAAAAAAGGAACCCAAAGCAAAAAATTAAATAAATATTTGGTTGGCATAAATAGAAACCTGGCGTTTTTAAAATTATATCGCGCGTTGAGCCAAGTTGGTTTTAGAAGCTGCCTTTGACTACAGTTAGCAAAAAGTTAATATACCCAGTAAGCACAAAGACGTCTTAAAGGCGCACTCGTCGACGTCTATATCATAAGGCTAAAAGACGTCTTTTTATAGACGTCTATGAAAAAACGTGTTTAAGACATATTTTGTAAGATGCTTTAAAACACATTACGCTACATTTTCAAGTAATATATTATCCTTGATTGTCAAGGATTTCATTATATTTCAATATAAAAAAAAAAAATATTTTAACATATAAAATAATAGGCGTATTAATTATTATTAAGTATTAGGTATTACATATAAAATAATATGCGTTTAAAGTAAGCGCGTTTACTTTAAAACATCTTGGCAAAGCCGTCAAGAAGATATCTTAAAGACATCTTTATAAAGACGTCTGAGTTAAAACGTCCTTATTAAACGTCTTTATAAGACGTATGAGTTTAAACGTCCTTTAGCCTTATGATCTAGGTGTCTTTGAATGCGTCTCTTAGACTTCTTTTTAAATTTTAATGAAGACGTCTTTCAAACGTCATTTTAAAAGCGCATTTTTAAAAGACGTCTAAAAGATATCTTTTCAAAAAGCGCATTTTTGAAGACATAAATAATCTCTTAAAGATGTTTTTAAAAATGCGTCTTTATCTAGACCAGTTTTAGACGTCTCCAAACGTCTAGAATGCGTCTTGTGCTTAATGCACTGGGTAATATGTAGTAATAGTAGTATAGTATATGGAATTATTACAAATAAATACTCCATTAATGTAATGAAATTTTTTACTAACTGATTGCTAGTTTTTTTAGTTATGATCCTCATCGTTTTTATTATTACAAGTATTATTATTACAAGTATTATTAGCTACTCGCAAGCCAAATTTCTACCGGAAGGAATCTCGAAAGATTATTGCGACTATCAGCATCACATTTTTAATCAAGGAAGCTATTTTTTTATCATCTTCAGGAAAAAAAAAAAAAAAAAAAAAAAAAAAAGATGCTGTTTTTAAATAATTTTCAAAGGTTTCAACTTATTAGAAAATGTGGCTTTAAAAACGCATGGCATTATATTAATACGCATGGTTTCTATTTACACCAATCAAAATTGTTTTATTTTTCACTTGTGATAATAGTTTTTTCTATTACTATTTTAGTAGTTTTAATTAAAACATGTTGGTAGCTAAAAACTATTCAGCTAACAAAAATAGCCATTTTAACTATCGTTCACTAACGATATTTCGTAGTAAAATTGGTAGATGCAAAGCTGTGATATCTAGATAGTGACAAGATAATGCAATGTTATAAGTTCAATTATTATTATAAATATATTAAATGCCAGGACGCATAAGTAGGAATTCTCCAGTCAAACCCCTATTCCGACGTTGAACGTCCTTTATGTCCGCTAACTTTGATTTGTAAGGGTTTGACAAACTGGGTGGCGCTGTGAGTTTACATAGCGCAGTGACCTTAACTCTCGACGGAGAATTTAAAGTCTTAAAAAAAAACGATCTGGTCTGTGAATTATGAAAAGACGAGAAAATTAAAATGATAAATTTTGCGGTATCATAAAATATAAATGTTTATAGCGAATAAACCCAGACCGAAGATTCTTTTTTTTTTTTTTTTTTTTAAATCTTCTTAAAATCACAATCGCTTGTCCAAATTTTAATAAGATTTTAAACAAATAAGTTTTTCAGGTGAAATAAACATTATAGTTTAACAATATGATCTGTTCTGATCGTTTATTGGCAATTTTTCTTAATTATAAGCTTTTTCTTGGTCGGAATTCTAGTATTTTTTGTAAAAATTGATAGAAATATTTTGCTTTGACAACTATGTATAGTTAATATACGTCAGAACTGATTAGAACTGAGATCGATAGTAAATTAAGGAACTTTTTCAAAAGATTTTAACTAAATTCATGTTAATGTCGATGAGCGGAATTGATCTAAAGACTGATGAGCGGAATTGATCTTAGACAAAATGGTGTTCTTTAAATTGACTTTTATGAGTAGTAAAAAAGTTTGGAAAATTGTATAAAAAGATAAAAGTTTCTTTAAATGTTTAAAAAACCTGAAGCAAAAAAAATTATACTATTTAAAGCTCTTGTTTGGGCATAATAAGCTGATAAAACCATGCTAATTCCAAGTAAAAAAATTTGAATAATTTTTAAATCGCCTTGACTACACCAAGAATCAAAAAATAATTTTTTATACTTGCGGACCTGAAGGACAACTTTAGAATAGGAGAAATCAGACGCATAGGAGGAAAGATCATACGCATAGGAGAGATCCAGATGCATGTTTGAAAACCCTTTAAAGATTTAAGAAAAATACAGATTTGCATAATCCTATTTCTACTTTGACAAGAATTTTTCCACTCTCATCAGATATCAAAATTTCATTAAATCTTATTTTACTAATGAATTATATAGTTGCTAATTCAAAAATAAAGGAGATCTTTAAAAACTTTTCTTGTAAAATGTCATGTTGCAGCGTCTATAAAGCATACACAAAACAAAGTTTATATAAGCTTGTAGCTACTAGTGAAGCACTTGTGAAAGATACAAAGTAAAATTCTAAAAGTGGTGCAGTGGGTTTATGTAAAAATGTTGTTGCATCTTTATACAAACTTGTTGATTCTAAAGAATTGAACAATGAAGTTGCATTAGAAAACATGTACTAATTTTCACAGAACTGGCTTTCAAGTGTTAATGGAAACTATAAAACCTTATCCGATTTTTCAATCTATAATTTTTTAAACTTCTCGTAGAAGCTGATGCAAATAAGGACTAAATTTACTTCCTATAGGTCTTAAGTTTCAAGAAGATGTAAACACAATTTATTACTAAAGTAATAAAGCACCATCCTTTAAACTATAAACACTTTGTGAAGGTTTAGAAATGTTTTTCAGGATAGGTACAATAATTTGTAGTATTATTTTAAGCCATGATTAATTTTAAATAGTCTCTGACAATATTTGTATAAATTGACCTATTTTAATTTTTGACCATAGATGAATGATAAAAATTTAGAAAAAAATATTTTGTGTTTATCATTTTGTCTATTATAAACAGAAAAATGCAATAAGTAGTTTTTAATTTAATAAAATTTATTTAAATAATTTATATTTAAAAATATATTAAAAAGTATACATATATATTTTTTTAAAGTGTGTTATCATGAAGTTATGGTGTTTTTGTCTTATCACGTCTCTTTTTAATTTCAAAGGAATTGAATTACAAGGTAGTTTTTTTTTCTTAAGTTTTTTTTTTGATTTAAATAGTTTTCGACATTATCTAATTAGTTTGATTAATTTCTGAATAATTCGGCTTGTATCAATTTATAGAAATGTTATTAAAATTGTTTAAATAATTTTAAACTTACACATGCAAATCTTTTTTAAACTTATAGTGTTTCAAGGTGATTTTGAGTATGCTCCACGAGACAGTTTTTTTTATGAGATTGAAGGTTTTAGAACAGCATGGGCTAATTGTCGACCACCAAAGTCGCAACCTCCAGTTATTCCTATTTGGATTAATGGATCCAGTAATTCAAATGTTAATGAATCAGATCCTCGCATAAAAATTACCGTTGTTGCAAGTACTGGTATCTTTTCACAAATGATTATCAATCCTGCAACTAAATGGGATTCAGGTAAATGGGGATGCAGAGCAATAAATAGCACAACTAATTTGACACATTGGTTTAATATTACTTTATATGGTATGTTTATTACTTTAAAATACGAAAAATAAAGTATTTTCATTGTTGTAAAATGATTTTATACCTTATATATTTAACTGTATTTTTATTATAAATTATAACTATGTATTTATCTGTTTAGGTCCTCCCAAAGCTCCTCAAAATATTCATGTTAAACAATACCGAAAACATGGTTTTATCTTAACATGGGATTATTTAAGGAATGATCTTGCTTTTTATGACATTAAAGTTAAGCGTCTTTCAAATGGTTCTACAGCAGACATTATTTTTAAAGAACACCATCTTCCTCTTTGGTTTCAATACACAGAGTATGAGTTCAAAGGATTAATTCCGGATGAAGAATATGAGATTATTATGAGAGCTACAGATGTAATGAATCAAACAGGAACTTGGAGCAGTCCCTTTAAAACAATGGTATTGTTACAGTTTATGCCATATTTTTTAAAAGACATTCCACAACTTATAGATGTTGCTGAAGGAGCAAATTTAACTCTTAATTGTGATGTTGAGTCTGAGCCACAAGCAACATTTCAATGGTTTAAAAATAATGCTGTTGTTCCTTTTTCAAATGATAAAGAGTTATTTTTATCAAATCTTTTAAGAAGTGATTCTGGGGTGAAATATAAGTGCAAGGCAATGAATATCATTGGAAACATGACTGGAGTTGAAGCTACCATACATGTTGAATGTTAGAATGTTTTTTATTTTTATTTTTTATTTATGTATTTAAATAAGTGAATGAACCATAAATTAGTGTATTGTTATATTATAATAAATTTGGATTAAAAACTGTTTTCCATTTTAATTTTATGCAAAAATTATTTTTCATTTCAGGGATTGACAAAGAGTTTGTTCAACCACCACAAAGTAATTTCTTTTATCGAAATGCAAATTTTTTGCGTATTTCATTTATTATACCAAAAGGTGAAAAAATACCTTCTATCACTTTTTTCATCAACAATAAACTCATGGACTCAACCTCATACCCTAGAAATTCAATAACATTATATAAAGACCCCTCTGGAATTATATATAATGCTCTTGATATTTTGAACCCAGATGATTCTTCAGAAGGAAGCTATATTGTAATTGCCTCAAACTTGGCTGGTAATGTCACATCAAACTTTTCATTGGTAATTGCAGGTACTTGTTAGAATTTTTATTTTATTTTATGACCCATCACCTGTTTTAACCAATAAACTTAATTCTACCATTATTTAATTTGCATATCCTTTTTTTGTTTTTTGGAGAAACTTGTTTTATTAGGGTGATATTTAGAGAAGAATGCTTCACTTTAATGCTATTTAGAAAAATGAATAGTGAATCTAAGAAATAAAACGTTTAATTAGGATCAAAATTTTTGTTAATGCATAGATGAGTTTTTTCCGGGAATTCCCAGAATTCCGGAAATTCACATCAAGTTTCCGGAAAATTCCGGATGCTTTTTGCTAATGATTTGTAAAAAGTTATATAAAATTTTAAATACGACATGGTTTGCATTTAAGCAATTATGTTTTCTATAAATGAAATTTTCACGAGATCAATTTTTTCAAAAAATTTTCTTTTTAATTCATTCAAATTAACTTTTTCGAATATTAGAAATTCTTTTTCTTAAGAAGTTAATTGATTTTTCCGGGATTTTCCGGAATTTTCATGAAAATGACTTTCCGGGATTTTCAAAGAAAAAAATTTCCGGGATTTTCATAAAGTCAAAAACTCATCTATGTTAATGTGTGTTTTTTTAATTTTTA